ATATATGAATATTATTTGCACTCATGATCAAATTATGATGATCCACTCACTCCTGCCTTTCTTTTTTCTTTTTGTTTTTGTTTCTCTTTTGTTGCATTAAGGGGAAAATCGTAATCTGTAAAATGAAATAGGAGCAGGGCTCTTTCAGAAAGCTTTCGATTAAATACCAAAAAGCAATGTTCCTTCTCCTCTAGAGGATTTATGCGGAAACAACGGCTGCCAAAATGACAGAATTCACACACAGCCAGGGCAGGAGAAGCATCGCTCTATGGATAAATGCTAAATGCACAAAATGTTTACAGAAATTGTTGCAAAGCATAATTAGGAAGATTGATCCATATTATAGTCGGTGATATATATATCATATCCGAAGATGGGTTATTATGCCTAACTGTAAGTCAGTGGGAAACAGGATGCATGCAATCAATGCCAAGCTGAAAAGGAGAAGAAAAGCAGTGGCAACGCAAAGACTTAGGAGGCAGGCAGAAATACAATGGGTATCCTAATAGTAACCCTTTCCTTACAGCATTTCCACCAGATGCCTAGCTGCTAGAACGTATTTCTATGTGTGTGCCTTTGTCCGCTTTCTGCCTGTTTCTTACCTGCCTTAAATTATTTGCTACTGATCAAGCCATTCCTATTATTTATTTATTGTAGCTTTACACTGATTGTACTGTATACCCTCTAACTTTGGCAAGATCAGTCCTGATTATGCCTCTGTCACCCAGGCCACATCTACACAGACCACTTAGGTCAGTGTAGAACTGGATCAGCTCTCTGGTGGCCAAACAGCACACTGAGCCAATGTGAGGCAATGTAGGGCAAGGACACCTTAACACATCCTTGACCTGGGACAATGTAGGGCAAGGGCATCTTAACACGTCTTTGATCTGGAGTAATGCAGAGCAAAGCCCCCTGAACACATCCTTGATCTGGAACAATGTAGAGCAAGACCACCTTAACACGTCCTTGATCTGGGATGTAGAACAAGGCCACCTTAACACAACCTTGATCTGGAACAATTTAGAGCAAGGCCACCTTAACATGTCCTTGATCTGGGACAATGTAGGGGAAGACTACCTTAACACGTCGTTGATCTGGGACAATGTAGAACAAGGCCACCTTAACACAACATTGATCTGAAACAATTTAGAGCAAGGCCACCTTAACACGTCCTTGATCTGGGACAATGTAGGGAAAGGCCACCTTAACACAACCTTGATCTGGAACAATTTAGAACAAGGCCACCTTAACACGTCCTTGATCTGGGACAATGTAGAGCAAGACCACCTTAACACGTCCTTGATCTGGGACGATTTAGAACAAGGCCACCTTAACACAACCTTGATCTGGAACAATTTAGAACAAGACCACCTTAACACGTCCTTGATCTGGGTCGATTTAGAATAAGGCCACCTTAACACGACCTTGATCTGGAACAATTTAGAACAAGACCACCTTAACACAACCTTGATCTGGAACAATTTAGAACAAGGCCACCTTAACATGTCCTTGATCTGGAACAATGTAGGGGAAGGACACCTTAACATGTCCTTGATCTGGGGTAATGTAGGGCAAGAACATCTTAACATATTCCTGCCCCAAGTTACCCAAAGTTGTAGAATGTCTGTATTCTGTCCTTAAATTCAGACTATTCCTAACTTTGGGCCCGTGGGAACAGTTGGGCTGGTTTTGAAATGGAACTGTCCCCAATGTCATTCTGTATTTCCCAAGCTTGAGGGCATGCAGGGACACCTTCACCCTTGCTCTCCATAATGTGATGGTCTCTGTCCATGACCCAGGTCCTATCTGTTAGATGTCATGTGCCACTCCAGCTTCTGTCAATGCCCCATTGCTCCATCTAAAACCACCTGTATGCAATGGCCAACAGGTGAGATCTGTATCTCATCCAGAGACCACTACAACAGGGTGGTGGGGGGCGGGGACAGGAAGGGTGGTCATTCAGTGGGGCTAAGCCATCTTTGGTGCTTCTGGATGATGGGAACTCCATCCTTCCTCTGTGGCACTCGGGGACTGCCTTTGTGGACCATGCACAGTATTGATTTATAATATGACATGCCAGTTCACCCTTGGAGTCTCGGTCAGTTTAGATCTGTCCTTAGCTTTTCTTATTCCTTGTTTTCAGCTTGCTGTAGTTGATGCAAACTGAATTCAAAGTGCAAAATAGATTTAACTATTCAACTTAACTGGACAGGAGAGGAAGAGCAGAGTCTTGCTGTTCCCCTTAAAGCAGGAGTGAGCAACTGTGGATGGCATTAGCCCTCCAGGAGATCTCAGAGTGCCACACGTACACTCATAAAATATCACTTTTTGCCCCAAATATGTCTAGAGCAGAGTTTCCCAAACTGTGCACCTCCAGATGTTTTGGACTTCAGCTCCCACAGTTCCTAACAGCTGGTAAGCTGGCCAGGATTTCTGGGAGCTGATGTCCAAAACAGCTGGAGGAGCACAGTTTAAGAAACACTATATAGGATATTGGGGTATGTTATGGGTTTCAAAGTCTCTCCTTGCCTTGAATTGTTCCAGAGGTCTAGAAGATGTGATGGAAAATGTCCCCCATGCCCATTTTGGAGCATTCTGGGGCAAAGAATCTCCGAATGCGGTGGAAATCTATTTCAGACACACCAATGTGCATTTGGGGTATTCTGAAACAGAGGGGCTTAGTGCCATTGAAAACAGCTCTTTAAGACTACATGTGGCCCATGAGCCACACCTTGCCCATCCCTGTGAAAGACTCAGGCAAATAATAATAATAATAATAATAATAATAATAATAATAATAATAATAATAATAATAATATTTTTCTGCCTCTCCTCAAGTCTCAAAGTATAACTGCTGCTCCTTTTCCTTGCTTATGAGTTCTTCCTCATGAATATCTTTGGCCACTTTGACCACACTCTGATGTTGCGTGGCCCCATGTGTCCTGATTTTCATCTGTCAAATGTTGGAGGCAATGGCACCAAGTATTAGGAAATGTCTATGGGAGGAATGTGCTAACCACGTCCCTCTTTAACATATTTCCCTCAGCCTCCGCATGTGCAAAGCATCTGAAGAAGAAAACTTGTTCTCTGTGAGGATACTTGGCATATGATTTATCACTTATGTCCTTTCTCTTGTTATATGCTGATAGTGTGCCTGGTACTATCAGAATACTTACACTGAAAAACCAGAATGATGGAGATGGCCATTTTGGATGGAAGCAACCTCCTGCCGTTTTGTCTTGCCTTCTGCATGTGCCAACTAGCCTTTTGTTCAACTTATTGCCTTGCAGGGCAGAATGAAACTACTTGAATATATGGATTAAAAATATGGCTTAACCTGGCATGATGTTGTTGTTTATTTGTTCAGTCGCTTCTGACTCTTTGTGACTTCATGGACCAGCCCACGGCAGAACTCCCTGTTGACCGTCACCACCCCCAGCTCCTACAGTGTCAAACCAGTCACTTCAAGGATACCATCCACCCATCTTGCCCTTGCTCTGCGCTTCTTCCTTTTTCCCCAGCAACATTGTCTTCTCCAAGCTTTCTTGTCTTCTCATTTTGTGGCCAACATACTTCATCTTTGTCTGGCATAATGCTTCATCTGGATTCTTGGGACAGTGAACAGATAGAGAGAGAGAAATGCACAAGGATGGAGTAGGACAAATGTACTTGGGTTGCCAAAGTGGAAACTAGAAAGGGCTCCTGTACCTTTCATGAAGATGTGGAGCAGTGGTTTTCAACTTGTGTATTCCCAGATGTTTTGGCCTTCAACTCCCAAAAATCCTAACAGCTGGTAAACTGGCTGGGATCTCTGGGAGTTGTAGGCCAAGACACCTGGGGACCCACAGGTTGAGAACCACTGATGTAGAACCTTGTTACACAACCAGGAACATCAAAGGTGCAAAAGTTCTCTCCAGTCTTTGCTTTGGCAACCCTAATACACATCCCTTCTTGTCTGTTGGATGCTTCAGAATAGGACTGCAAGGAATCATAATATTCTTCCTCATCCATGTTGGTGAAAATCAAATTCTTGGTTCCAGCTAGTTTAAATGCAATTGATCAATGGGAACTTGGAAAAAAACCACATTCAAGTCCCACTCTAATTAGCAAATGAAGCCCTGCGCCTTCAGCTTTGCTAGAAATACATTCTTGTAACTGTGTTTAGTTATCTAGTTGCACAACTGTTGGGGGCATTTAGCCCATATAGGCAGTCCCTGACTTACAAACATCCACCTTACAAACAACTCATAGTTAAGAATGCCAATGAGACAATAGTAAGTGAAAGAAATCTAGTCTTGGGAAGAGAAATTCACTGCTGGAAGAATTATTGTAAAGAGGAAAAGGCGTCTCAACTGAAGCTTTATCCCCAATCTTTGTTTCTACAACAAGCCAATTTTTTTCAAAATCCAATTATCACAGGAACAGAAAGTGAGTGGAAATTTTCTGAACAGGGGCACAGAAGGCAAAACAAATGTCTCTGGCCTCATCCACACTGCATATAATGCATTTTGAACTGCATTATATGGTCAGTATAGATTCATATAACTGCACTCAACTGGATTACATGAATCTACACTGTCATATAATGCAGTTTAAGCTGCATTATAATGGCAGTGTCGTTGGGACCTCAGGAATAATAATAATACTAATACTAATACTAATAATAATAATAATAATAATAATAATATTACATTTATATCCCACCTTATCTCCCCATGGGAACTTAGGGTGTAACCTTCCCAATGCCATCCAAAACTAAAAAATATTTATATTTGGCTGGAGTTACACTTAAAATATGGGTCTGGAGAACAAGCCCTATGAGGAGTGGCTTAAGGAGCTGGGCATGTTTCGCCTGAAGAAGAGAAGGCTGAGAGGAGATATGATAGCCATGTATAAATATGTGAGAGAAAGCCACAGGGAGGAGGGAACAAGCTTGTTTTCTGCTTCCTTGGAGACTAGGACGTAGAACAATGGCTTCAAACTACAAGAGAGGAGATTCCATCTGAACATGAGGAAGAACTTCCTGACTGTGAGAGCCATTCAGCAGTGGAACTCTCTGCCCCAGAGTGTGGTGGAGGCTCCTTCTTTGGAGGCTTTTAAACAGAGGCTGGATGGCCATCTGTCAGGGGTGCTTTGAATGCAATATTCCTGCTTCTTGGCAGGGGGTTGGACTGGATGGCCCATGGTCTCTTCCAACTCTTTGATTCTATGATTCTATGACTCTATATGTACCTATTCCGATTTACATACAAATCAATTTAAGAACAAACCTACAGAACTTGTCTGTAACTGAGGGATTTTGCATAGTGTGCTGTTGACGACAGACATGATAGTTGCATTATTGGCACGATTATCTTTCCTCATGTCCTCTCCAAACAGGTTTCTATGCTGTCTCCAATGCCGCTGGTGGCTTTTGTTTCTGCACAAATTATTACACTTTTTACAAGAGACAAAGAGGAAGCAAGGAGAAGGAACAAAGGGAGGGAGATGGAAGAGTGAATAAGGGAATCCCAATATTTGAATCTACTGTGCACCAAATGATGCAATGGGGGAGGGGAGGGGCACCTTTGATTTTATTACCGGGCACCAATTAATCGGTACAATATAAACACCCAGTTTTCCCTTAATGGCCAAGGAAGGTGAATGGATCATCAAAAAGAATTTTTTTGTACTCCTACTGCTGTTCTGTTGTGCTGTGCAACATTTTGCTACATAGACTATTTTATAGGAGAAAGCTAGAAAAAAATATTTATTATTAATATTAAAGCAATAGTGCATTTGGGGAGGGCGGGGAATTGAAGAGACATTAGAAATTGTGTAAATGCTTAGATTCACTTTTGGTGGATTTTTTTTGTACTTTATTTATAACTAATAAAATGAATTGCATTGCTAACTATTTGCTGGGATACCTGCTGTTGGTTTCATTGGATCATAGGATACCATGGAATGAATATGGAAATGCTGGATATATATATTTTTAATGGGTAGATACTACTTTTGTTAGACCAGAGGACAATGAAATTGCTGTTTGTTGGAGTATTAAACTACATCCTTCCCTATGCTCAACACGTAAGGTAAAGGTAAAGGTTTCTCCTGACATTAAGTCTAGTCATGTCTCTGGGGGGTGATGCTAATCCCTATTTCTAAGCTAAAGAGCTGTTGTTGTCCATAGACACCTCCAAGGTAATGTGGCCAGCATGACTGCATGGAGCATTGTTACCTTCCCACAAAAGCAGTACCTATTGATCTACTCACATTTGCATGTTTTCGAACTGCTAGGTTGGCAGAAGCTGGGGCTAACAGTGGAAGCTCACCCTGCTCCCCGGATTTGAAATGTCAGCCTTTCAGTCAGCAAGTTCAGCAGCTCAGTGGTTTAACTCGCTGTGCCACCAGGGGGTTAACACATAGATGCCCAAATAAATTCAAATACGATTATAGTATTTCTAGATTGGAAGTCTGCCAGGTCAAAAGATTTCAAGATCAAAACCTGAGACCTGGGGATCACTCCTCCTAATGTCACTGGAAGTGGAGTCTGATGGTGTTACAAGAATATGACATCATGGTAATGTCATTAAGCACATCTTAGCTATCGGATATGCCATTTAAATAAAAACAGCATATCTAACAAGTGAGGAATATATTCAGGTGAGTCTCAATTTCTATTAGTGTTGAATTCCTGGACTCACAATGAGAACTGAGACTAGCGCAGAAGGGGAAGACGATTCCTTAGGGAATCATTGGGCACGAGGAGAAAGCGTTTTGACAGAGATAATCTCTGCCACATAGCTAGTAGTTTCACACTCACCTTTTCTAGGACAGAGCAACCCCTTCCTTTGAGTTGATAAGATTCCAGTTGCTTATCTCCTACTTGAGCAACCAGAGAGAATCCCTTCTGACTGCATCCAAATCATACGATTCCAATTTCTTCATACACCATCACACACACCTTCTAAGCAAGCAAATAAACCCATTTCTCCAACAATGAAAAAATTCCTATTTCTTCCTCTACAGAAAAATATCAATCCGAACTTCTAGCAACACCAAGACTCTTTCTTTCTTTCACACACCCCTTTGCATTGTAGATGACACTTTTGTTTATTTATCCTTGAAGGAATGCGGTAAATGTGAAATGTTGGACAGTTGTAGAGTGAGAAAGTTCAGGAAGGAGGAGGAAGATTGCCAGGAATCCACATCTCCCAATAACAATGATCTTTCTGAGCCTGAATTGCTGGGTATTAAGACAGAGGAAGGTCCTATGGAGGCTGCAAATACTAAAGACCAATTGCCACAATTAATCAAGCAAGAAAGTGTGAAGAAGAGATTGCATTGCTCCCAGCAGTTATTAAGTAGGAGGCATTGATCTAATTAGGCTCCTGGAGCCTGGAGACAGCTGTCTATAAATCTCCCAGCCACTCTTTGGTGGTTTCAACCCTCCTTTTTGGTGAGTAGCAGTACGTTTGGGTGTTCCTGTTTTTCTGACCTCTGGCTGGCTACAATTTATGACTTTATTTGGTTGTTGTAGGTTTTTTCAGGCTATATGGCCATGTTCTAGAGGCATTATCTCCTGACGCTTTGCCTGCATCTATGGCAAGCATCCTCAGAGGTTGTGTGGTCTGTGACTATTTCTTCCTGAGTTTGTTTATCTGGACTGAACAACTTCTGGATTGCCGGATGGCCACTCCCTTCTCTCTTCATTATGCTGAAAACCCTGCAACTCATCTGGATCGAATCGATTCCTCAACAATTCTCACTCTGCAACCACCTGGTTCCTGAGTAACTTGCTGTGTAGAACATCACAGAAACTAAAGCAATACAAATCAAGACACACCTGTGTACACACATTTTCAGGGTAGCTCCCTCACCTTGAGTATCCTCTTCTGCTTGCCATGAGCATTAGAGAGAGTGTACAAACATTGAAGCTCAGAGCCTGGGATCTGGGAAGCTGAGGTGGGGGAACTATGGCCTCCAGGTCACATTCAGTCCTCAATCGATCCTTATAGCCCTTCTGACACCTCAGAACTAACTCCTGGACCCTAAAAACCAATATATGGAAGGGTCAGATGAAAAAGTGCAAGAAAATTCCTTACCACACAAATTTGTCTCAATTTATAAGCAGCTTACCTCTTCCTACCCTGCCTCCCTCTACCTTAAGAGAGAATATACAGAAGTGAATACAACCGAAGTCTCCACAGTATTATCACATTCAGCAGGCTTTGGCCTCACCAAGAAGTTCATACTGGTAGAAGCCAACTCTAACAGACCTTGTTGCTTCAAGACACTCAGGTTGGTATCCTATTTGTGACATACACAGGTTTAAGCTCCTCTACGCATATGGAATGATTATTATGGATGCTGCACAGCAGTTGTATTCAGAAAGTAGAGTGGAATATATACAGCTGTTGTGCATACAGGATACAGAGTAGTTTGTGAATGCACATGGCCTCTATGCTTTACCACTGTGTATTGGGATTGCAGTTGCACAGTGGTTCTTAGCCTCACACATTGACCTAATGGTCATTTGTTGAACTACTTTGGTATTCAGTACAAGGGTTGTATAACACAACTCTGCAGTGGGATATTTATATTATGCGAAAGTGACAAAGGGCCTTGGCTTCACAGTGCTCTGAAAAAGTGGGAATTAAAGACTGTAGTCATGCCTGGTTTTTGCCATGCTGCAGAGAATGCTCAGGTTGGTGGAAGCTGGATGGATGCTGTTGCTGCAATGTGTTTGGAACTGATGCGCCAACGAACATCAGGGTAAATGGGCAAACATCAATTGATGGTACCATGACAAGTAGGATTGATGTCCTCCCATCTCAGGACAATCATATTCAGCCACGCTTGATAGCATATGATGATGATGATGATGATGATGATGATGATGATGATGATGATGATGATGATCATCATCATCATCATCATCATCATCATCATGATCTCAGGTGGTTAGAAAATTTGAGCAATTTCTTGCATTGCATCTAGAAATGCTGCAAGGAAGTGCAGAAGGCAAAACAATATCTATTGTTAAAGCAAGGGTGATCTTTCAGATGTTGTTGGTCTATAACTCTCAGCACTCCTTCCCAGAGGCTATAACCATTAGGCAAACATCTGTTATGTAGCAATCCCTAAGGAGATTTTAATTTGCAAAGGAGAATAACCACAGGCAAACTTCCCTTTGGAAACAGGTTGCAAGGCTAAACATCTCATTCCCCATGTCCCAAACTGAAGGCGTAATACGATATAGATGTAATAAAACAAATCAGCAGTTCTTAGTGAACATTTGATGTTGGCACACTTCCTTGGAGTGATGGCGGCACAGCCATGCCTGCAATCTTCAGCTCTCCCAATTGCAGTGACTTAATCCTGGTTCTGACATTCCCCAACTAGCCCAAGAGAAGATGCACTAAACAAATGAGGAAGCCACTGCAGCAAAGGAGATTGCCACGCCTGACCAGCTGATGGCTCCACGGCTCCCCATCTGCCTTTGCCAAGAATGTGTTCAATTTCAGAGAAATATATGTAAATCCTGCCATTGGAAAAGTTCCATGTGAAACTTATTGCGCCTGCAAGCATTAGTTGTTGTAGCAACGGGAATGGGTCTCATGGGAGCCAAAGTCAAAAGTTTAATGCGGCAAAAAGAGACAGGGAGAAGAAGGAGTTTCGAAAAAGACTTATCCTGCAAGGAGCCCCACTCTTCTGTCTTTCTTTGACCCTAAATGTAATTTCTATTAACTTTAACTTTTGAAGAAATGGGTTTCTAGCTCAATTTATGATCAATAATAATCCCAAAGTTCTTGCATGTAATATGGCAGAGACAAATGTGCATGGCATACCTTTGCACTTGGCTTGTATGACCTAAATGTAAAATTTTGCATTTGTCACTATTGAATTTCCTTTTATTAATTTCTGCTCAGTTTTCTAATCTATGTAGGTATTTCTGAATTACCACGAACCACACTTTCACCCCTACTAGCACACATAGTTCAGATTCTATGGTATCCCCACTTTCCATGCAGTTGCCAGCAAAATTCAACATCAATTGCAGTGGCTCTGGATGGTGCAGGATGGAACAATAAGAAAATGAACCTTTTGTTGCACTAAAATATTAGTGGCACGGTTGCATCTGGGGTATCAATACTACAGTGTTCAATGGTGATGGTACACAGAAGTTGAAAATACAGTGGTTGTAGGTTATATGTAACCACCACTGTTCCACTGGCTGCTGACAGCTCCACTGGCTGCCAATAAGCTTCCAGTCCCAATTCAAGGTGCAGGTTATGACCTACAAAGGCCTAGATCAGTGGTTCTCAACCTGGGGTCCCCAGATGTTTTTGGCCTTCAACTCCCAGAAATCCTAACAGCTGGTAAACTGGCTGGGATTTCTAAATATTGTAGGCCAAAAACATCTGGGGACCCCAGGTTGAGCACCACTGGCCTAGATGGTTCGGGGCCTGCCTATCTTCACAATCACATCTTCCCCTACGAACCCGCATGAGCTCAAAGATCTTCTGGGGAGGCCCTTCTCTCACTCCCACCTCCAACTCAAGCATGGTTGATGGGGACAAGGGAAAGGGCTTTCTTGGTGGTAGCCCCGCCCCCCCGGGTCTTGAACTTTCTCCCCAGGGAGATTAGACCGGCACCCACCCTGTCCACTTTTCATAAAGACCTAAAAGGTGGATGTTCCATTTTGATTAAACAGTTGTGCCCCCCAATTATAATTTAATATCAGCTCCTGAACTCTATCACTGTCTCCTGCCCTATCGATTTGGTGTTCTAAATGACGTCCTTCTACTCCTAATTTATTATCTGCCCCTTCACTTTTCCACCAGCCCCTGTCTTGAAACTCTACTGCACAAGCTCCTACCCTCCGAGTTCAGTATTCATTACTGTTCAGGCTATTGGTTGTTTTATGATGTTGTTTTATAAATTTGATTGCTTTGTGGTTTTAATCTATGCCTGTTTGAGCTTGCCCCGAGTCCCTTCAGGGACTACAAGAAACTACAAGAAAGGAGATTCCATCTGAACATGAGGAAGAACTTCCTGACTGTGAGAGCCATTTAGCAGTGGAACTCTCTGCCCCAGAGTGTGGTGGAGGCTCCTTCTTTGGAAGCTTTTAAACAGAGGCTAGATGGCCATCTGTCAGGGGTGATTTGAATGCAATATTCCTGCTTCTTGGCAGAATGGGGTTGGACTGGATGGCCCATGAAGTCTCTTCCAACTCTTTGATTCTATGATTCTATATGATGATGATGATGATTATGATGATGATGATATAACCTATGGGATCCAAATAGTTCATTTTAGGGTTAATTGGATTCTGGGTAAGCACATTCAGAACTATTGTGTATACTTATGTATGTCAAGAAATTTTAGTTAGAAAAACAACCCAAAAATTAGGTTGACTTATCCATGGGTCAATCATAGTATTATAGAGATGGAAGAGACTCCAAGGGCCACCCACCCAATTCCCTGTCACACAATCCAAACCTCCCAGTAGATTCAGACTGTTTAAAAGCCAGTATTTGAGTACTGACCTTAATGCTTATGAATAAAACAACCACCCACTTCTCTGAATAAAGTGGTTAAAAAAGAGAATTTAGTTGGTCTGAGAATATAAAAATAGCACCAGCCTCCTCTCTGTGGAATGACCCTTGACTTATCCAAGGATCATATCAAAATCCATGCCTTTGACTTACATACGAGCTCGACTCCAGCTCATCTTTTGGAATTTATTGGTACTAATAAGAATGTTCAACACCTTTTTAGAAAGTCATCTTTATGTTTATGAGGAAGTATAAAATCTGACAATGTCAAAATGGCCCCATAGCACACATTAGAAATATTTTAATCAGGAAAATAAGTCTTCTATTTTTTCTTGGAAGCATTTTTGAAGTATGTTTACAGATATTTATTTTTACCAAGTAGTAAATCATAGAGTATCCCATATTAAAAACACTGATCTGGAAAACAATGAAAATGTTCTCCAGAGTAAAATTTTATAAAGAAAACTGAAGTAAGTTTGAATTTTTTTTGGGGGGGGGGGGGAACAGTCAGTTAAGCTTTACCAAATTTTTGTTGGGTAGGGAAGAACAAATTTTGGAGACTTGTAAATTTTATGGAGATGAGGGGTTTTTTTTGTCAAAATGCAATTGCTGAAATGAACATTTTTTCCAGTTTTTGGTTTACACTGTAATGAAAAACTAGTATATGCAGAAAATAACTTTGGTGTAGACAAGGCAAGGAATAGAAATTCAGTCCTAAATTAACCAAAAATGAATCCACTAAATCAGTGGTTTCCAACCTTGTTTTGACCAGGGACCACTTTGACCAGGAACCACTCTCTCAAAAGGGTTACGAATCAGTTTTTGGTCAACTCTAGATTTGGTTTGGTTATTTGGGGTACTGATTCATAAAACTGCACTGGATAGACCACATCAGCTCTACTTTCTGATACAGAACATATGCCATCTAATAGACACCATCTGCTTGCCCATAGAATATCATATTTAATAATCTAGATCCACGGACTTTATTTTAGATCTCATGGCCCAAAAGTGAGTTGTGGCCCACAGGTTGAGAACCCCTGCACTAAATCAATTGGTGATCCAATGGATTTACTCTAGTTAGAACTATCAATTGGATTTAGGTCTGAGGCTGGGAAAAAATCGACTTCCTGTTTTGGCTTAAGCATTTTAGAATGTTTTTGATTCCAGGATGGAAAGTCCGGGGCCCAAAATGTTATCTCTAGAACCATCCCAGTGGTTGGATCCCAAAATACAAACCAAGAAACAAAACAAAAATTAATAATGGTTGAGAGACCACTCCTGTTTTTATGTTTTTGTTAAAAAATTATGTCATCAAGCAATACGGAGAAGCCCAGCTATATTTAAAGGGAAACTTGTCTGATAATGGAAATTCACTCCACTTTTTTGGCTAGTAAAGAGTCAAAAAGTACCAGTAGTGGTTTAAGTGGTGGATTGGGATATTGGGAAACTAGGATTTGAAGCGCCGTTCAGCCATGGAAACCCACTGGATTATCTTAGGCAAGTCATGCTGTCTTAGCCCCAGAGGAAGGCAAAGGCAAACCCCCTCTGAACAAATGTTGCTGAGAAAATCCATGAAAAGTTCACCATAGGGTCACCAAAAGTCAGAAATGACACAAAGGCACATAATGGGGGTTGAGGACCACAAAATAGCCTGAGGGCCCCATGTGGCCCTCAGACACATATTTGCCTATCCATAACTTAGTGTGACTGTTAATTCCTAGGATATAGCTCTCTCCATAGTAACCCATCTCCTCTGTTCACATCGAGCCATTTTCCACAGGGAAAGTTTGTGGTCACCCCAGTAGCTGAGTTGGTGATTTCAACCCGTTCTACCAGCCATCCTGGAGAAAATCCAGTATTGTCGTGTTCAATCCGGACTTTCGTCAGCTCTCCAAGTTCAAGGATTTCCAGGTAAAACCGATCGGTTTGGCCTCGTTCGAAGAGGTTGCGGAATTTCTGCTTGAGAGCCCGTTTGCCTGAATCCCCGTTCAATCCGAACATAGTGATGAGGACATTGGCGTCGGTCCCTGATCCCTTCTCAAATCCCGTCACAACGATCACCTCATATTTGACTGGCACCAGACTCCGAGCTTTGCTGGCAAAGCTCTCATTCACCTTGGTACACTCAATGACTTTGTGGTCACCTCTCTTTGCACGAAGTGGAATTTTTGTGTTGCACCTGAAGAAATACCTGCAAGAAAGAACAGAACCACAGTTTTTGGATTCAGAATAATGAATGGGTTGCCTTTCTCCACCAAATGTTTTGCTCTGAGAGGCTTCCCTCCTTCCTTGAGGGAGAGAAGACATACTTTCCCTAACAAGTTTTTGTGTTAGCTTTGCTAAACCCTCTCTGATTGAATGTTTTCTTACTGTTCTTTTGTCTAAACTTTCTTGACTGGCAAAATTCCACAGCTTTTTAAACCCAGAAACCAATTGAATAGGATGTGCCGATTTTCTCCATAGCTCTGTAGTCGGAAACTCTGTTCCATTTTAGTCTCAGCACCATCCTAAAAATCTGATGTTCTAGAGGCATTTTCTCCTGACGTTTCGCCTGCATCTATGGCAAGCATCCTCAGAGGTAGTGAGGTCTGTTGGAAGTAGGAAAATGGGTTTATATATCTGTGGAATGACCAGGGTGGGACAAAGGACTCTTGTCTGCTGGAGGTAGGTGTGAATGTTTCAACTGACCACCTTAATTAGCATTTGATGACTTGGCAGTGCCTGGGGGAATCTTTTGTTGAGAGATGATCTAGAGAGCCTTTGCTTGGAAATTCCAACACAGAAGCTAAAAGCTGGAGCCATCTGAATAACATATTCAACTCAGTACATCATGAATTGTATGTATCTTCCCTCATCTCTTGGGTGAGAGAGCAAGCAGCAGTGCTGATTACAAAGAAAAATTGAAAAAATCTTCAAAAATATATTGAAAAAATGTTGAACAAGTATTTCTCAATTGGTGAGAAATTTGGATGAGAAGAATCCTGAATTCACAAGTATCTTAGCAATGTGAGATTTATCCAGTGAAAAATTCACAGATAGTTTTGTGCAGAAAACAGCATTTTTCTGTGCAAAAAGTCACATTTTACGTACACAAACCTCTCCTCCAATTATTATTTTCTCTGAATATATGGAATTGATGTTCCTGTGTGCCTTCAAATTGTATCTGACCTATGGAGACCCTCGTGCAAACATATCACAGAGATATTTTCATAAGATTTATTCAGAGGGAGTTTGTTATTAACGTCCTTTGAAGCTGTGATGATGTGACTTGCCCAAGGTCTGACTGAGTGCAGATTCAAACCCTGATCTCCAAGGTACCAGTCCAACACCTAAACCACTATACCACACTAGATATTTATTACCTTTGCAGAAAATGTATTTTTCCCTACTCAGAACAACTCGTGAGTTCTGCACAGAATAATCCCCAAATACAGAATTTCTTGAGCAAGAAATTGCATTTTATGCAGAGAACCATATATTTGGGCAAATATATTATATTCCATACAGAAAATGCTGTTTTCACCACAAACATAACCCTCTGAGAATTTTGCATGCAATATATCCTTCATTGCGAATAATCTTCAAAAGCTACTGAGTTTTGGAAGACCTTGCAGTGGGTAAGAAAATTGCTAAAATTGAGAAGAAAGGTAGCATCTCTAATTATAAGATGGCAGACTTAAGTTATACAGGGGACTCTCAGTTAACCAGTACTCAAGAAACTAGAACTTTCAAGCAACTAAAAAAATAGAAGAATACTTCAAATAAAAATTAAGATAAAACCAAATTAACTAAAATTGCATACTGTGTTCACAAAGCTGTTTTTATAATATGGTAAAACTGTGTTACATTCAATTCCATTTGTCTTAATTTGCTTTTAATTACTATATTGCAATACTAATACCATACACAGCCTTTATTGGCATGCAACAACAAGTCAATACAGAGTTAACTGTATGGTATAGTATAGGATATCAAATTGGTTAGGACTATTTTAGTTCATGATTGTAGAAGCCCAATGACTCACAGGCTTGACTGTGTTTTAGAAATGTTAAACTCTTTATTTGATCAATTGATGTTATCCATTGTTTGTATTCAGTTAATTTATGTAGTGCACCAATCCTATGTAATTTTATTTTTCTGTGCAGCACCTTGAGTCCTTTTGTGAGGCACTTTGCGCAGATGGGGTGCGGTATAAATCAATAATAATAATAATTATTGTTGTTATTATTTTCAATAGTAACTCTCAAGCAACCAGAAACTACATTTATCTTGCATCCGCCAATCCCCAGGGAGCCCGCGGTGGCACAGCAGGTTAAACCGCTGAGCTACTGGACTAGCTGACCAAAAGGTTGACAGTTTGAATCTGGGGAGTGGGGTGAGCTCCCGCTGTTAGCCGCACCTTCTGCCAACCTGGCAGTTAAAAAAAAATGAAAATGTGAATAGTTCAATATGTATCGCTTTTACGGGAAGGTAACGGCGCTCCATGCAGTCATGCCAGCCACATGACCTTGGAGGTGTCTATGGACAATGCCGGCTCTTCAGCTTAGAAACGGAGATGAGCACCACCCCCCAGAGTTGGATACGGCTAGACTTAATGTCAAAGGGAAACCTTTACCTTTAATTTACTGAGAGTCTACTGTACTATGTTTAATGCATTTTTATTTACATTGTATCATATTTGTCGATAGCTGAGTCCCTGTATCGGGGAAAAAGACAGGAGAAAGTAAATAAAAAAATTTAAAAGGTAAGCATGTAAGTTCTTCTTGTGGCTCAGTCTGAGTCTAAAACTGAATGGTTTGGGCCTTTGGAGCCTGCTGGGCCTTCTGAGCCTGACTTTCTGCAGGATGACAAGGAGGCTAATGGGTTACAGATTCCTGTATATGTTCCAGACGGGGCTGATAGTGCGGCTTCTGATAAAGAAGCAGCAAGCCTGTTCCCCGGGGAAAGGAATGTGCCTTTAGATAGAGATAGTGAAATCCCACAAGTGCAGGTGGAGACTCCTTTCGGTTCCCATAGTGATCCGGCCCAGCTGGGCCAAGATAAGGAGTTGTATAGCCTTGAAGATAATGGTGAATTAATGAGCAGACAGGATCGTTTGCAATTAAGGCTTCGTAGAAGCACACGCCTTGCCAGCAAGAGGGAAGCCAAAGGTCAACGCAATGCTTTCATGTCAGGGAAACTTATTTAATGATGAAGCTGACAGGATTTCTTGTCAATCCAATGTTGCTTCTTACCATTTAACTTCTGTGGAATTACCTTGGCTTTTGTGGAACACTTCTGGCTTCCTTAAAACTTGATTCTGATTTTACCTGTCTACCATGGACTCTTGTTTGACCATTGCTATGGGATTATGCTTCATGTTATTTGCCTATGGATCTTGGGAACCTTGCCTTTGCATTTAAGACTCTGTTTTGCCTATTGAACTTTTGCATCTTTATTTCTCTGTCTGATTTTGCTTTTTCTCAATAAACTACAAAACCTACAGCTTTGGTGTGTGGTGGTGTCTTGAGCAAGGTGAATACTGCCCTGAGTTGCAAAGAGTAGTTCTATAGTCAAAGCTTGGGGAGTAGTTCTATAGTCAAAGCTTGGGGAGTGTTTCTTTTTTTGGTCTGAAAAATCAATGTCTCCAAGCTTTATTTAAAGTCTGGATCAGGGACTCTGTTGCTCTTTTCTAGGCTTGTCCCAGGTTCCAGCTTTCCCAGCCAATTGTGGTATTCATGCCACTTGTTCCTTTCTTTGTGAGGAGCCACTTACTTGTTGTCGAGCTCCATCTCTGAAACAATAACCTCCTGAACATGCCAGTAGACATCTGCTTTTATGCTTGATTTCTTCCCGTCTTTTGGACAATGACCAAGACAGATGGCTGCGATATCACCAACATTCTTTGAAGAAAACTCGAATACATCGGTCGCTCCCCTGTAGAACAACACCCCCAAACAGCTCTAATTAATATTGTGCAGATCTGCAGTCATCAAGGATGATGAGAGGACATCAATTTATTTGTACAAGATTGTAAACTACAGGGTATTTTTTCTGTAAGAAAATGACTAAGCAGCAAATGATTTGGAACAAAAGTGTGTAAGTGTGTACATACTACTCACTCATGTAGCCCTCTATGGATTTTTTTGGTAAGTACAGACCCTATTCCACATATAAATCAATTTATTCTATTTTCAATGCAGTCAGAGAGTGCAAAGCACTCCCTGCCTCATTTATTTCGCTCCTGAAAAGCGTATAAACACAATCGACACTTGTAATGGCATTAGACAATTCAGAATCTCACAGTGTCCATTTGATCATCTGTACTACAAAGATTTTTATAAGAGCTTGGCCGCAACAAGATGATATTGTTATTGCGCCTACCTCAAGAACCTCCTTTTCTTGGAAGAGTTCTCCAGAAGAAACTCTTTGGAACGTCCCCTCTTCCCTTCAAAAATAACTATGACATTCTCCTTGGTTTCTGCGTCATCTCTGTCACTGGTGATGGTGACGATCTCGTAAGCTTGGAAGTAAAAAAAAAAAAGGATCAGACATTGAAGTGGGGAGAAGAAGCAAAGAACCCCCAATTCCTGACTATGACACCTCTACCATTGGGCCATACACATCAACACATTGCTTGTGAAGTCGGGAACGTGATTAATTCTGACCACATCCTATCTCACCTGAAAAGTATTGGATCTGTAATCCACATAATCATCTGAATGCCTGATCTGCATTGACTTCATTGTAAGTATGAAATGGCTCAGATCCTACACCACAGTTGCGTTGCATAAATCTGAGCATATGGAGTTGAGCAACCTTTTTGTTGAATGGCATTCTTGTGCAACAGAATCAAGGATGCATCTACTCTGTGGAATGGATTCAGTTTGATACCGCTTTAGCCATCCTTGCTTAATGCTATGGAATCATATGGAGTTATAGTTAAGTGAGGCACCAGCACTCTTTGGTAGAGAACTACAACTCCTGGAATTTCATACCACTCAGCTAGGGCAATTAAAATGTCAAACTGCATTAATTCTACAGTGTAGATGACAACCAAGACACCAAATATGAAACTGAACCCACAAATTCATCATGCCCATTGAACATCTATGTTCAATTCCATTGCATGCACGATTCCACTTCCACAACCTTTAACTAAATGAGGGTACTCCACATCAGACAGGACTGTCTAAATATTTCTGTGGGAAAACATCCATGTGCATAAGATGCCAATAGGATTCTTGTCAAGAAATGTTACCACATTAAATTATAAGGTGGATCTACAATGAAGAATAAATGCAATTTGACATCACAGTTTTACAAGGTTTTCAGCCTTCTTTGCAAAAGAGTCCTGGTGTCTCATCAAACTACAAATTCAAGGATTCCACAGCATTGAGCTATGGCAGCCAGAAGTAGCACCAAAAAGGTAGCACCAAACTTCTTTACTTCTGTTGTGTAGATGAACCCAAAGATTCAGAACACATAGAGATTATCTAATCCTAATGGAAAATTTTATGAAGCCTCTATAGCAGAATTTTCTATCTATATTTATATCTATATCTTCTACTTTCTAAGACATTTTCCCAATGGAGGGGTTAGCATTGTGACTGTAGTTTCTACAGGGCTTTGTTTTGGGCATCTACATGTCTCAGGTTGGCAGCACACATGTCTTCGTTCATGGTGTCCATCCACCTGCTATTATATCTGCTATTATTATATGCTACCATTAATAAATTAGTGCTTTCTCCCTGTAAGCAACCACATAATTGGGAATTTTTCCCCATGCAAGTTATGAGGTTTCAGCTTCTGGATGTCATGAAAATTTACATGCTAATAGTTGCTCAAACACAACTTTTGCATTTCAGATGTTGGTACCCATGCACATGCATGCAGAAAGTGATGTCAGGAATAGCACATTCATACTGCCATTTCTCCACATGTCTTTGCTAAATCTGCATGATGTTGGAAGAAAGCTGGTATTGCTTTAGTTTTCAACATTGTGGTGGGCAAATTTCATCTGTGGTCCTTAGAACCCCAAATGTGTCCCCTGGAATGCCCCAAAGCCCATAGAATCCCTTAAAATAGTAATTCCAAGTTATTTTCCTCCCAAACAATGCAAAACCCTATTTTCCATGTACCTTAATGTACCATAAAGATTTTCTACAACCCTCCAAGACTGACCAATAATTGGACAAATTGAAACCGTAAATGACGTTACTTCCCGTTTCACTTTGGTCACTTGAAAATGTAGTCTACTGGGAGGATGGTCCATTTGAAAATTGGCCCCAAATTTCCCATCCCTGTTTTAGCAGCATGATTAAATACTAGAAGTTAAACAATTATAGATGTCCAGTGATGCAGACTCCAGAACCAACTGGACCACAAACCCTCCCCCTTGTTTGTAGAGAAGGTGCCTCCCTGGACCTACAGGTCTTCTCTTTCAGTTCCAGGATGTCATTATTGGCACAGGCCAGTTCTCGAATGGTTTGCTTGTCATCTTCACTTGTTGCCAGCCAGCGGTCACACTGGAAGCGGAAGATCTTGTCCAATTCATAGTCTTCCACATCAATGTATTCCAAGTGCCAGCCTGGTGCAATTCCTGTAGGAAAAGAAGCATCTCATTGCTTGAGAACCAGAAACAATATCAAAGCTATGCAACTCTTACAAGAATTATTGATAACTGGGAAATAGAGGGAGAAACCGTGGAGGCCGTGACAGGCTTTGTATTTCTAGGTGCAAAGATTACTGCAGATGCAGACTGCAGCCAGGAAATCAGGAGATGCTTACTTCTTGGGAAGAGAGCAATGACCAATCTCGATAAAATAGTGAAGAGTTGAGACATCACACTGGCAGAAAAGATTCATATAGTTAAGGCAATGGTATTCCCCATAGTCACCTACGGATTGAGAGCTGGACCATAGGGAAGACTGAGCGAAGGAAGATCGATGCTTCTGAACTGTGGTGCTGGAGGAAAGTTCTAAGAGTGCCTTGGACCACGAGAAGATCCAACCAGTCCATACTTCAGGAAATAATGCCCGACTGCTCATTGGAGGGAAGGATATTAGAGACAAAGATGAAGTACATTGGCCACATCATGAGGAGACAGCAAAGCCAGGAGAAGACAATTATGCTGGGGGAAATGGAAGGGAAAAGGGAGACGGGGTGACCAAGGGCAAGATGGATGGATGGCATCCTTGAAGTGACTGGATTGACCTTGAAGGAGCTGGGGGTGGTGACGGCTGACAGGGAGCTCTGGCGTGGGCTGGTCCGTGAGGTCACGAAGAGTCGGAAACGACTGAACAAATGAAGAACAACAAAAATGCAACTCTTTCCCTAAGAGTTTTGAGATGAGTCTACACCTCAAATCCACTGTTGGCTGTCCCCACAACATTCAACAAATTTTGCTGAGTATGGTAGAGATTTTTTAAATGGTTAAACCAACTTTGCTCCAGTTTGGGTAGAATTGTGGAATACTCCAAACTATCCCACAGCTTTGGGACTGTCTGGATACTAGTAGGATCAGGTCAACTTGTTATGCCTTATGTTGAACCTATCATGAGGTTTTCTTGGCAAGAATTGTTTAGAGGGGGTTGCTTTTGGTGACTTCTAAGATTGAGACAGCATAACTTCTCCCAGGTTACTCAAAGGGTTTTCATGGCCGAGGAGGGATTCAAACCCTGATCTCCAGAGTTGCAGTCAAAACCTCAAGCCACTACAGCACTGGATCCAATCAATGTTGACAATATCAACCTAGATGAACCAGGATAAAGCAATGTTATTTGTTCTGAAGATCCCTGGTACCACTTCTGTCATTTCAAGCTAAAAGGAACAAGAAGATGAAGCAAAAATCCCATTTTCCCTTGGTCAACAGTGAAAGCAGCCAGAAATGTGCTGAGTGGGCAAGCAAGTGTCAAACCAGACATTATAGGGACATGTGTAGAGTGTGCCCTTGGTATCCACTAAGATTTGGTTCCAGGACCCCCTGTAGATATCAAAGTCTATGGATGCTCAAGTCCCATTATATACAATGGTGTAGGGAAAATGATGTCTCTTATATGAAATGAGATAGCCAAGGTATGTATTTTGGAATTCTCCCCTTTTTTTGAGGGGGGGGGGATATTTTCAAGTCATGGAATGGTTTAATTTATGGATGCAAAATCCACAGATATGGAGGGCATGACCTACAATGATCCTGAATCCCTTTCTCATTGGTGGTATTTCATCAGTCATGTATGACCTGAACAATCAGACTTTCAAATTAAACCTACTTATCCTCCATTGATGGTAACTGTTGAATGCACAAGATGCGCCAAAATGCATGTGCTGTAACAAGGAAATTCCTTTCACTATTTGAGGGGCAGACCTCTGTATAAATTGACACCCTCTAGTTCAGGCATGGGCCAACTCAAGCCCTTTTGGTGTTTTGAACTTCTCCTACCAGTGGTTAGTAATTGTGGGAGTTGAAGTCCAAAACACCTGGAGGTCCCAAGTTGACTCATGCTTGCTCTAGTTTGATCCCAAATTGAACTGGAACAAGGCTTTGAATGAGAGCATCCCTGTCCATTGATAATTTTTTTTTTCATGCAAGACTGTTAGCGTACTCAAAAGATGAGACAATGATGTAGAGGAAGACAACATTGAAATGTAATTTACGTGTGTGTGTGTGTCTGGAAGTGTTACTGAGACATCCCTGCCTGATGCTGTCAGCTCGTCCTCCTTATTCTTGCTTCCTTGAGCACACAGACATGGAGCCCAGCTGTTTCAATTACACACCTGCCATTGCCGTCACTTAACAACTACAAGAAAAAGCTCTCTGCCTCTATATTCAATTAAGCCTGGAGCCCCATGGTGAGGGGATTACCCAAGTATCAACACCGTGTTCTGGAAGACATGATGATGAGGTCCCTCCCTCCCTGATCCCTGCCCTTCCAGCTCCTTACAAATACATTCTCTGCCTCCTCTCCTCCCAGAAACAACCATGTTAACAGCTTGGGTTTCAAGGCAAAAGGCTGGAGGGAGAAGTCCAGGACTCTGGTATTTCATCTGCGGTGTAAGGAGCAATGGCTAGACACTGCAACAGAGGGAAAAGATGGCAGCCCCTTCGCTGGAGGCATTTCAGCAGACTCAGCTTGCCATGTGCTCCTGGACTGGCCACAGCTGGTGCAAGGACACAAGAAACAGATTCTCAGTTCACAGGAAACTAACTATGCAAAGAGTTGTGTTTGTTGTTGTGCTAGTATATGTACGCAGCCCTTCACTCTTCAGTATGTGAGTGTGCATGCATGTGACTTCAAGGTGCCTCTTGTCTTATTATTCATGGTGACCCCATGAATGTCATAGGGTTTTCTTAGGCATGGAATACTCAGAGGTGGTTTTGCCAGCTCCCTCCTCTGAAATATAGCTGGTCTTTATTGGTAGTTTCCCATCCAAGTACTAACCAGGATTGACCTGTCTTAGCTTCCAAGACCATAGAACCATAGAGCAGAAAAAGGCCACAAGCACCATCTAGTCCAACTCCCTTCTGCCATGCAGGAATACAAAGTGTATCCCTGACAGATGGACATTCAACCTCTGCTTTAAAACCTCCAAAGAAAAAGTCTTCAGAGAAAAAAGGCATCACTAGACAGAATCTGTATGTGTCTTTAAGTTACCTGCCAGCTTATAGTGACCCCATGAATGCCATAGGGTATTTATTTATTTATTTACTATACTTTTATACCACCTTTCTCAGCCTACCAGCAACTCAAGGGGGTTTACAACAAGTCAGTACATATAATAACAAAATACACATTATGCATTAAACCAAAACAAAAACGTAATAAAAACAATAAAACCAACATCAATTATCGTCAGCGCCTCCTAGTGAAAAACCTCAGAGCCTGGAACAATCTTGAACTGGTTTCTGCATGCAAGGCATGTATGTGTACTTCCACAACTTGCAGAGAAGCTACAGGATACATTAATGTGAAAGACACCATTGCTTCTTTTTTAAAGGAAGTCCAGTCTAGACCCTCTTCTTGGTGCTGAACTCAACTGCTTGAAAGAGTTTAGTAAAGGTTAAGGTTTCCCCTGACATTAAGTCACATCGTGTCCGACTCTGTGGGATGGTGCTCATCTCCATTTCTAAAATGAAGAGCCAGTGTTGTCCGTAGACACCTCCAAGGTCATGTGGCTGGCATGACTGCATGGAGCGCTGTTAACTTCCCGCCGAAGCGGTAACCATTGATCTACTCACATTTGCACGTTTTCAAACTGGTAAGTTGGCAGGAGCTGGGGCTAACAGCAGGAGCTCACCCTGCTCCCCGGATTTGAACCACCAATCTTGTGGTCAGCAAGTTCCGCAGCTCAGTGGTTTAACCTGCTGCACCACCGGGGGCTACTGGTAAAGAGTTTAATATAATTTTAATTGCATTCTATTTTTTAACTTGTGGTGTGAATCTTTTTGATAGTGTAAACAGATAAATTCTATTGTTTACTTTCTAATTGCATTGTTCTTTTAAACCATGAGTCATTTTGAGTCACAATTTAGAGAAAAAAGTGGAATGAGAATAATAATATTATCCAGCTTCTGAGACAAACTCTGCCTTCTTGCAACTCATTTTGCTCCTCCTGTACCTTCCTTCCTTCATATTTTTTTCTGTTGCTGCTGCATCTAAAATTTAATTTAAAACAACTCCCACTAACCTGCTTGATTATCTGCCTTTGGAAATGAATCACATTTGTCTCGTTACCTTTGTTGTCGTGCCAGACGCGCACTTTGCAGAGGTCTCCAAGACAGAGCAAATCAGGAAAATCGAAGACATCCAACCGATCCCTTTCAAACTTGTTCGAGCGGTTTGATTGTTTCAGGGGAAGAGTCCCAGTGTCTCCATACTCTCCAAAGATAATCAGGAACACATTGGCATCTGTTCCAGCCCCTGGAAGGGGACAAAAAGTGATCAGGGCATCAAAAGAAGAAGTGGCAGGTCTCAGACAAAGGGCCTTATCACTCTTTTATGATGGGTTATTCCGTCTCCTGAGAGTGGCTGGTTGTTCTTAGAGTTGGAAGAGACCCTCCAAGGGGCATCAAATCCAATCCTTTGCTATGCAAGAACATGCAAACAAAGCAGTCCATGTAGATGGTCATCTAACATCTGTTTAGAAACCTCCAGAGATTGAGACTCCACCACTCTGAGGCACCAGTATATTCCACTGGTGAAATATAGAATCCTAGAGTTGGAAGAGACCTCGTGGGCCATCCAGTCCAACCCCATTCTGCCAAGAAGCAGGAAAATCACATTCTAAGCACCCCCGACAGATGGCCATCTAGTCTCTGTTGAAAAGCCCCCAAAGAAGGAGCCTCTACCACACTCCACGGCAGAGAGTTCCACTGCTGAACAGCTCTCACGGTTAGGAAGTTCTTCCTAATGTTCAGGTGGAATCTCCTTTCCTGTAGTTTGAAGCCATTGCTCCACATCCTAGTCTCCAGGGCAGTAGAAAACAAGCCTGTTCCTTCCTCCCTATGACTTCCCCTCACATATTTATACATGGCTATCATGTCTCCATGTTGAATAGCTCTTACTATCAGAAATGCCTTCCTAATGTTTAGGCAGAACCTGAATCCATTGCTCTGTGTTCTAGTTTCTAGAGCAGTAAAAAAATCTCCAAAAACAAGCTTGCTAGCTCTTAGAATCATAGAGTTGGAAAAGACCTCATGGGCCATCCAGTCCAACCCCTTGCCAAGAAGCAGGAAAATTGCATTCAAAGCACCCCTGACAGATGGCCATCCAGCCTCCGTTTAAAAGCCTCCAAGGAGCCTCCAACACACTCGGGCAGAGAGTTCCACTGCTGAACAGCTCTCACAGTCAGGAAGTTCTTCCTAATGTTCAGATGGAATCTCCTTTCCTGTAGTTTGAAGCCATTGCTCCATGTCCTAGTCTCCAGGGCAGCAGAAAACAAGCTTGCTCCCTCCTCCCTATGACTTCTTCTCACATATTTATACATGGCTATCATGTCTCCTCTCAGCCTTCTCTTCTTCAGGCTAAACATGCCCAGCTCTTTAAGCTGCTCCTCATAGGGCTTGTTCTCCAGACCCTTGATCATTTTAGTTGTTCCCCTCTGGACACATTCCAGTTTGTCAATATCTCTCTTCAATTGTGGTGCCCAGAACTGGACACAATATTCCATGTGTGATCTAACCAAGGCAGAACAGAGCATGGGGAGCATGACTTCCCTGGATTTAGACACTAGACTCCTATTGATACAGTACAGTGTCTAGATCCAGGGAAGTATAACATCCTTCCATGAAAATTTTGCCTCAACTCTCCAATTTGTTTAGGTCATTTCAGTATACTTCTGCATGTTATGAGCTTCATTTGCACAGTATTTGTCCATAACATACATATTGGAAAAGATAATGAGACTTGGCACGTTAGAAGGGGAAAAAAGGAGACCACTTTAAAGATGGATAGTGTCCATCAAGGAAGTCATGACACTGTTGATAACAGGGAGACTTTGACATCTCTCAAAGGATCAACATAGCCAATTGACTTGACAGCAACTATAACAACAATCGCCCTTTCTCTGGCCATAAGGTAATCTGTAATTAATGACAGAAACAACTGAGAGCTATCAAGAACCAAAACTGATACCTATTGCATGCAAAGGTTGTTATCACACAACTAAAATTGTTGCTACAATAGTTCCACAGCTTTGTTTTCTTGGCCAGTCCTAGATGCTTGGATTCAGAAATAATCAGAATCTATGTAATGTTGCTGGAAGTTCCAGAGAGAAATAAGGAACCGTCAAAACTCATAACATACAGGGATGACAATCTGGAAGTAAGTATCAACTCATTTGTGATCTGCCTACATAGAAAATGCAAGTATTGATTTCAGTTAACAAAGCCATGTGTTTCCCTGTCAAATTAACATATTGCCCACATGGATAAATTACACCAGGCAGGAAGATTTGCAGGATCACTGCCTAGCAATTGCTTAGTCTCACAAAAATTATTTAAGGTTCAGCAGAATAGACACAACTGTTAACAGTAGGTCACTTTTATCAAGTAAGAAATAGAGAACAGCACAAAAAAACCCTCTCACAAGGCTACCTGGAACAGTATTTTTTGCAGAAAGCCCTCAATTTGGCTTGTTGTGGAAACAAAAATTGGCGATAAAAGTTAAGTGAAGACACCTTTCCCCCATGATATTAATTCTTGCAGAAGTAAATTTCCCTTCCGAGGGGGGCGGATTTCTCTCACTACCTGTTGTCTCCCCCCCCCCATTTTTATCTATGAGACATTTATAAGTTGGATGTTTGCAACTTGGGGACTTCCTGTGTATATCTTTTCTGAACAGGAAGAAAACAGGGGAAATGACATGTCTTTACTTGCAAGGATGAAACAGTCAAACATTAGCATATCCTGTAGGTTTTTCAATGGAAATGGCTCAACATTTTTGTCTGTTGTAGAACATCTTCATTCAGCTCAAGGCTGCAAAACTGGTGCTGCACATTTGAAGCACATTGTGCATGGAGATGCACATGCATATTTATCTGCACACTGGATTTTAAGCATTGCAATTTGCCATCAAGGCAGAGTTGCTCAATTGTTGCATAACTCCATGTATGAAAGGTTACCCAATGACTATAGTGTATCAACAGCATGGCCTTCAACACTTCACAGACAAACACTTCGCAGTTCAAGGAATATAAGAGTCTGGTTAAGGTGGCAAAACTGACCAATGAGGAATAAGATATAAGCTAGGATCCACTGCATGTTGCAACTCAGAGTAAGCTTCACCTTGCTTCCAAACACCACCACACAAGAGCTGTAGTTTTATAGTTTATTGAGGAAAAAAATCCAAGTCAAAATAAAGAATAAGCATTGCAAAGTTCCAAAGATTATAGTTCCAAAGATCTTCAGGTAAAAGCAAGAGACATAATCCTATTGGCAAAGTTCAAACCAGAGTCCCAGGTACAAGCAATGAAACAATTGCCCCATGAATCACAATGCAAGAAATCCCAAGCGTACTGCTTTTCAGGCTAAGGTTATTCCATGAAGCTTCCAGGCTAATAAGCTACATTGAACTGACGCTTTCCCTTGGTTTGCAAGAAGCCTAAATAACTTTGTAACATGAAAACATTACATGAAATCATTGCGATGACCTTTCACCGAGCTGGCTTCTCATCTGCCAGTCAGGCGAGAACTATGCCTGACCCGCAAATCAAGACGAGCTTGCCGGGTCAGGTCACTATCAAGGCTTTCAGTAATTTCTGTATCAGTGTGGGAAGGAGGCAAATGCCTCCCCACCTGTTCGCTATCTCCTTCATTAAAATTTAGCAAGACTTTCAGTACTTTCAGTATCAGCGTGGGAAGGAGGCAAATGCCTCCCCACCTGTTCACTATCTCCTTTTAAAATTCCTTTCTCCTGAGAACCGCTGTGTTGATGTTGACTCTGCACTGTCTATGGGAGCCGCAGGCCCAGAGATCTGAGGTACAGCAAAAGAGCCAGGAATCTGAATCCCATCATCCTCATCATCACAGAACATCTCAGCCACAACACTTCAGGAGTTTGCTTTTTCCTGAGCTTACTGGGAAGTGCAACATTCTATTCCACCTCTCCTTTCTCTCTCGGTAATTGAATGTAATTTGCAGCAATGGAAGTAAGCTGAGGACAAAGGAAGGAGTGAAAGGAGGAAAGACTGGGACATTTTAAAAACAACTGAAAAAGTGGGGAGACAGGGAACTAATTGGGATTGTTCCTCCCGAATCAGGACAGTTGGAGGGCACACCAAGGCTATTCTACTTCACACTAAAAACAACTTTGTAAAATAATTTCAGAATTCTCTTTGTGTACGTGTCCAGAAATAGAGGGGGAGTAAGAGTTTGAATGAACGAATGACTGACTCAGTGTATAGAGGAGAAAAACAAATATTTTAGTGAAATCTACAGAGTGGAGGTAAGAACACACGTCCAGTTATATACTGATACTGAATACAAAGTTTATTGATCCACTGACCACATCAACATTAAAAAAACAAAAACGAAAAAGGACACAAATAGTAATCACTATCCCAAGACTCTCGTAATAGTGAACTAACATATATTAAAACTTGATTAAGTTAAAAGGTAATTAAAATATCATCATTAAAATGCCAAGGTAAAACTTCATACCACAAAAGTTTAAAATGAAGGTTAAAACAAAGGTTAAAATAGACCAGCTATTACACAATCCCAATCCAGTTCAAATATCTGCATCACCCCTACAGTTTACATGCTCATTTATATGGAAACAGATTGCATGAAATTGGACTCAGCTTTTCATTTACAACAATGTTTAAGGAAGGAGCAAAGCACCCAAGGTTCCTGTGGTTTGCCTGGCAGCGCCACTTGAGGGCCCTGATGTTTGCCAGGGGCGACAAACAAAACCAAGCAAAGCTTCCTTTTCTTTTACCAAGAACAGGCTCCCAATTAGTCCTAACAGTTTCTCAGCAAAAGATTCATAGTGGGATGGAGGCCTTCCAAAGGCTTCATGCCGGGGTATTTAGTTTGGGAGCAATTAGCCAAGGCCACGAAAGAAAACAACAGGGGAAAATGCAGAACCAAATGTATGCAATGGCCACGTGCGATCCAGTCTTTTTTTTCCAACAACTAAAGGAGACTTCTTCTGGATAGAAGAAGTCTCCTTCTGTCCAGAAGACACCCACACAATGAGATACAGCCAGGAGCTATTGCAATTGGAATATGGTTCATGGAAACAGTCCTAGAAAACCAGGAAACTATAGGTAGCTGAGTAGGCAGGTAGCTGCATTGCAGGCAGGAATCTTGGGCAAAAAAGAATAGAATAAATAAATGCTACTGGTACAAACTCCAGAAAGAAAGACGAGCAGGACTACCCGAAATCAAAAGTTATTATGAGGTGAACCAATTGAGACA